CGCGAACGACATTACCGCGAACGACGTTACCGCGAACGACATTACCGCGAACGACATTACCGCGAACACAAAAAACGACATTACCGCGAATACAGAGAACGACATTACCGCGAAGACTTGTTTGTTGGAAAAGCCGAATAAATTTTTTCGGTTTTGTATTTTGTACATCATGTTTTCAAACTTAACTGACGTTATGTGATGACTAGTCATTATCTGATACAGCCACAGATATCTAGTTTCCCATCACGATAATATGTTTTATGTGAAAATACTTTTCGAACTCACTCTCACAATGCCCTCTCTCCACTTCCCACCTCCCTCCACATGATATACAAAGTACAAAACCAGGCTCATTTATTCTTCTTTTCCAATAAACGAGTCTTCGCGGTAACATCGTTCACTGTAATGTCGTTTTTTTGTATTCGCGGTAATGTCGTTCGCGGTAATGTCGTGTCACGGTTTTGTTAAATATGTTTTAATAAAAATATGGAATTAAAGTATCAACCCGTCAAATAATGTTTAGGACTTGCTCACTCATTAGTATTATTAAGATGTTCTGGTATGTAGGTTTGTAAGTTCTTTTCGTTTATATGTTAGAGATTGGGTTGTTCGCATTTCGCGCTAGCGAGGAAACATATCCAACTGTTACCTCGCTTTTTCCTCTCCCAGCTCTACATGACCTTTCTTTGCAAAGTTATAGATAAATCGAGATGCCTTCTTGTTGATAAACTAGAAAGTTTAGAACTTTCTAAGTATTATGTCTGCCAAAGCGCTTTTACTATTACCATACGATCATTACCACTTCTATTTTCCTTTAGTTGTTGTGCTCACAAGTTGCTGTTGATTTTTGTTACATTACACACAAGTAAATAGTTACTCCTTTGTTCTATCATTTTCTAGTTATTTGTTGGATAAAAGTATTTGTTGTATTCTTTCCTGTGTCAAAAATCTATTTTCGGTTGAAAACACCCAATCTTCACGAAATTTTCATAGAATTTTATTCTCATTTAGGTTAGTAAATATTCAAGCTTGAGTTTTCCCAGCCTTATTTTTAAAATAGTGGTCGAAAACTAGGTGCTACTATTTATATTTGTTGCCATGCGACCTACTGGATCATAAATAAATAAATAAATAAATATATTAAATCCAAAATTAGCACCGACAACCGATATGTTGCATTGAAAAGTTTAAGAAATGAAACGGGGAAGACAGAAATAAGCAGTTGTTACCAACGAAGAATAATTACTTTATACACTAAAGGTTATCCATGCAAGAAACACCTCTCTCGTTCTTCGAGGCATTTCAGCTTGTTATATTATGTTTTGGTCCTGGTAATTTTCCAAAGTAGCTGTTTGATTCTTGAATAGTAAATAATTCTTTTAAGTGACGAGGAACAAAAATATTTGTAAAAACCATTCGGAAAGGCGGATTTTAACGTTATCTGGTCGCACGCGCTTTTTTACAAAATATAGCTAAATCTCTATTTTCTAAAAGAAACGTAAATAGTGAAAATACTATTATGTCAATGAATTTTTGATTATTGATGACCAATCTTATTACCTAAGACTGTTCAACAAACATTTTAATTAACTTATTTTCAATTCTGCTAATCGCTTGTAGTTCATATGGTGCATGAGTCTTAATTATGTCCAATGCTTTTTTATAGAATTCTTTACCCAATGTTGTCCATTTTTAAGATGTAGATTAGCATACAGTTCATAATTAAAACCTACAGCACCATGGGGAGTTGTCAATGTTTTATAAAATATTTCCATTGACTTTTGACAACAATTTACACATTCTGAAATTTGATCTAACTGATAATAAATAACAGCTAAAGAGCTCCAAGCATTGGCATACTCTTGTTGTTGATCTACAATTTCAAGAGTCAATAGTTGATATAAATCAATTGCTTCTTGACAATAATCTAAAGCTAATTTATATTCATTATCCAAATAGTATAACCAACCGATTGAATTATAACAATTAGCTGTGTCAATTTGTTCTTGAGTTCCACACAGTTCAATTGCTTCTAATATTCTTAAATATTTAAATGCATAGTCGAGTGCCATTTTATTATCACCTACAATATGATACAGACACATTATAGTATTGAGTAGTTTATTGTGTAATTTTTGTTGTTGTTCTGTCGTAGTTGTTGCACTTGAACATAATCCTAAACTTTTTTTGTAATATTTTACTGATAATAAGTAAAAATTCTGTTTATAATAACAAAATCCAATATCATGATATATCATTGCCAGCTGATCATTTTCAATTTGATTATCATCAATTAGGTCCGTGTAATATACTATATCATTTGTATCACCATCATGTTCACTTTTATTGCTGTTTAGCAAGAGTCTAGGAAAATACAGATGGCAGATCATGACAAAAGAAAAAGCTACAGTAAAATATTGACTTTAATTCAATATAAAACGATTGCAAGTATAATACACTATTCATTTAAATTCTTGCGTGTCTCACTCGGTTATGTTGAGCTGGAAACTGCAAAAGTTGTTTTTTTCATCGGATCAAATAGTACACATATATCATGAGTTTTTTTGCCTATTATATGTGTTAACGCACTCATCCTGTACTGAAATTGTGCCTGAAGTTTATGCTATTACTATGCGCGAACGAAAACAGTGCAAAAGTTCTGTAACATGAATACTGCTGTTTGCAGAGCATTTTGTCTCTCAACCATTTTTTCTAAGAATCCATGGAAAAGTGCTGACTCTCCCGATAAGGTGGCATAGCCTAACTTACTTGTCAACTGACTGCTGTTGTTTATTTTCCTGGTTTAATATAATTAATTTCAAACAGGTTTTGCATTCTTCTAATGCTTGTTCATAGTCTAATTTATATTGATAGCATACACTTTTATCCAAAAATAAATTAATTTTTTGTATTGCTTCTTTATCATCAGTATATTCTATTGCTTTATTATAGTAAACTAAAGCTTGATCAAAATTGGCTTTAGTAAAATAACAGTTACATAAACGTAAATAAGCATCAAGTAATCTCGAGTTATCCGTAAGTAACTTTAAACTTTTTAAGTAATATTCAAGAGCCTGATCAGTCGATTTTTCTTGCATATAACACCAACCGATTTGTACATAACACAAACCAATGCCATTTTGATCATCATTGTTAATAAATTTTAATTTTTTTTCATATTGTTGACGAGCTTGTTCGTACCTTTTTAATTTACAGTAAAGAGAGCCAATAGAATCGTGAGTGTTCAACATTTTTGATGGTTGGTCATTAAAAAGATCCAAACATTTTGTAAAAAAGTCGATTGATGTTTCGTAGTCATTGTTTTTCTTATAACATTCAGCAAGATTTTTATTTATACGACAAAGTTCAGATGCTAAAATTCAAAGACACATTAAGATTGCATCCGGAAAGACGCTCGAGGGATACAGTAATCAGTTGTCATTTTCTCACAATCAGGACACTTGGTTGCTCGAATAGAACATGCTGCCATTATAGTTTTTTACTTCGCTTTTTTTTATAACTAGGTTCCTACGAAGATACGTTTGGATAATCTAAACGTTTTACTGTGTTTTTCTTTGAGATTTTAAGGCATATGCATATGTAGGGGAAACATTGTTTAATGTAGACGCAACACCAAGAAGTTCAGAAATCCTTCAAAAGAACGTCAAAAGCATCCAACAAAATTATATTACGTCAGACGCATTCTGTTTCCACTTTCTCAACTTTGCAAGTTAGTATACATTGTGAGCAAGAGTAATGTTCGATAAGCAGGTTTGTGTAGTTTAGTAATGGAATAATAAGACTAGACAGCCTAAGCTCGACGGAAGATAAATGGTGTCTTCCTGAAGGCGTGAAAAATAAGATGTTTAAGTCAGACTCCTTCAACACACTTTCAAGTAGTGCAAAATACGACGCTTTGAACTATCTTCGACGTGAGATGAGATAATACCTTTGCGGAGTGCAGTTCAGATGCCTCAGACCAAAACGCCTTTTTTCAGAGTACTTTAATGAACTAGTTTTCATTCAAAAAGAGAGTAATGAAACAATACCTTTATTTTGTTGTTGTTGTTCTTCTTCTTCTGTAATTTTTAATGTTTTTAACCAATATACACAGGCCTGATCATAATCATTGTTGTCCCAATATGAACATGCAATTTGATCAAATATCGATGATGTTTTTTCATATGGATATTCTAACATTTCAAATAAGTGGCAATAGCTTCCTGATACATATGCTTTCCATCGTAACAGTAACCAATACACTTATAGAGAATTCCAATCTGTTTTTCGTTATTCTTTTCTTTTTGATTTAAATGAATTGATTTCATGTAATAATCAATCGCTAAATCAAATAGTTTTATTTCTGTATAACAAACACCTAAATTGCTGTACATAACAGCTATACTAGGTGAATCTTGGGTTGTGTCTAGTGCCATTTGGAAAGAGTTTATAGCTAATTGATATTCCAATTGCTTACAATATGCTAAACCGATTTTATTCAATGTTTCGGTATCATTTTGTTTCATGTCTAAAGCTTTTCTATAATATTCTAGAGCTTTTGTATAATCTGTTATATTAGCATAACAATCACCGATTGATCGATAATGACGGATAAAATCTTGTGGTAGTGATGGTTGACCATCAAATAATTGAAAACAAGCTAGTCATATAGGACATTCGGTTCTGACACACCAAAACAGAAAGGGAGTAAAGTGACTACGACTGACCCTCATGTATTGTTGATCAATTTAGACAGTGCTCATATTTAATTTTGGTAACAACTAAATTTTAATTTATGAGAAAAATGTTTGAATTCATTCAGACAATTCATCATTTCTATAACTTATTTTATTCGACGAGTTGTCATGAACATTTTTACTTCCGTCGAGGGTGAACGAATGAACGGGCAATTCAAACTAGTCCAAACACCCGTTTTTGATAGAAACATGAGACCGGACTTTTGGAGAGATATTACAGAGGACAGTATGTCTTTTTCATCATCAAACGTCCTTAATGTTTAGTTTAAAATATTTTAGATAATATTCAATTGATGTTTCAAATTGATCGTTCTCATGATACAAGATAGCTAAACATTTGAACATTGAATGACGATCAGATATTGTAGGTGAATATTGTTCATATAAAAGAAGTGCTTGCTTATAATACATTAATGATGTTTTATGGTCACATAAACGACCATAACATGCACCAATTAATTGATTTAAACTTGCCGATTTTTCGCCATTATAAGTTGTATCATTTAATTGATGTAATTCTAATGATTTCTGAAAATGTTTTAATGCTAAATGATAATTTTCTGTTTCATTAAAATAAACTAAACCAATTTTTTTATGTAAATCTGCAGCTGTTTCTACTGTTGTTGTGGTATCCTTCATCGATAGTAACTCAATATATTTCTCAATATATTTTATTGTTCGATCGTAAGAGCATTTATCATTACAATAATAAGCATGTAAACGAGTTAAACGAGCTTTGTAATGGGAAGTTTTATGTAATTGTCTTAGCATATTTAATGAATGTGAATTAAATCAGAATGAACCAGTTTTACTTATTGCGATTATATAATTCTGTTGCTGTTGTTATATAATTCTGTTGCTATGTATTTATGGCAACATTAAGATAAGTGTGTCACGTCATAAAACGAAAAAAGAATGATACGCAACAGCGATTTCCGGTGATGTAATGCGGTATTTTCCAACTGACAGAGTACTTTTCATTCGAGAAATGAAGAGACGATCCGCGGAAGGATCAAGCATACATAAGAATAAGTAAAACATACTCAGGAACGTCTGCGCTATAGTATGTTTAAGGCCTCAAGTAAAAAATAAGATGGTACATTTTGAGAAATTATTTGCCACCATGTTAGGAAAAGAATTTGAAAAACTGAGCGGGAGAGTTGAGGTTGACGTTGGAAGGTGTTTTGGGAGATAAATGGGATTTTTTCTGCTAAAGCACAAAAATGTGACGGTTGGAGAATATAGAAGTAGGGTGTTAATAACTTTAGAAGTGGGACGTTTTAGATTTATTATCATCGAGTACTTCTGTACTCATCTATTTCTTGCAGCACATCGCTGTGGTCTCAAGTTTTTCTCTGTTCTAAGTTTTATTTACAGCTTTTTACGAAAGTGTCAGATTATATCACCTGGATATTGGTTTTTCACTCACCTTCACAACTTGCAATGCCTTCAGATGTTCTCATCCAGTTCTGAACGTCCATAAGCTCAATCTTGAACTTTAAAACCTACTTTACCTAGAATATACACTTTAGACGATGTGCAGACGTCTGCATTTTACTTTCCACTAGCAGAGATCAAAATTTTAATCTTCACGAGCGGAATTTTAAATTCTATTAAGTTTTAGTTCCTACTGCAATATATGCACACACAAAAGAGTTAGTCAAAACATACAAATATCATTCTTTTAGTAACATACTTAACTTTTAAATGAGCATAAAGAATATACTACTCTCATAGAGAAATTTATCTATATTTCTCTGAATTGTTTTGTTTATGAGTGTAACTGTCGAGAAGAAAATTTAACATTCCACAGCGTTTTAAAATTGCCAAAAAAAATTGTGGTCGAGGTCTCGGTATGTTTTGTGATGAAAAATATTTATATCAGTTTAGTGTAATTAATACATATGTCAGTACAATACAAAGAAAAATTGTCAATAAGATAATCATCAATATTTTCCTTTGATTATTTCAAACATACAGAGGAATATATTTGTTTATTATATAGGTAACAGGGAACTCAACAATATCTTTTTCTTATAAGTTACTGTTATGGCACATATTAAAGACGTGCCATAAGAGAGAATTATATGATAGGTATCATACATATATATATATTCGTTCTCTTTCTTGTTGTCAGGAATTTCCCCAGTGTTAGTTCTTGGTTTCTTTATTCTCTGTGATCTTTTACATGTATCTCCAGTTTCCCAGTGTATTTTATCAACTCTAGAATATTCCGCTTTTTGTGTAAACTTAACTATAAATATACGCTAATTTTGTGCAAAAGAGATCATCTTCAGTAACTTAATAAACTACTTATACACAACAACGTATACCGGACCTAACAGTTACTGGTGAGAGTTGAAATTTCACTTTTTATGTTTTCTTTATAGGGAAAATTTTCTTCATATATCATTCTTACTCTCGTGAAACGACAGGTAAGATGCAACTGCACTCTTTCAATGTAACGTAAATCATTTTTACTGTTAATCCATGTGAAGCCCACTGCGATATATAAAAGTGTATGAGTCCACAGCAGCTAGCTGCCATGCAAGTTTAAGCATTAAAAATGTGGGCTTCTGGTAAAAACTGCATTCTCTAGCTGTTGTAAAACCTGAGAAAACTCTATTATTTTCGGAGGAAGGAAGCTAACATTACTATCGTGCATCTATTTTTGTTTAACTTTCAACACTTCTCTTGTTTCTCATGTCGGCAGGAACCTTTGAAAAGCTGTTTTTTATTTGAAAGAGTAGTCCAGAATTCATCAGATTTGATAATATAACGTTTGCTTGATAAATACGATAACTGGACTCAAATTTATTGATTAGTTCGTCTTTCTCGAGATTTTTTTCCGAATGCTTTCCGAAAAAGCTCATGTTTTAAGTTCGAGTTTGGCTCTTTAGGGAAGAACATTATTATCTATCCGAGCGTTTTCTGACGTCTTACATATGTCTTCTCAAACACTAAGGTGCCACGTTCAAGACCCATTGAACATGCCTTTGAAAAGACTGGTTTTTTAAGTTTTCTTCAGTAAATAGATAAACCACTGTTGATTAGTTTATTGCTGATACCAGATGTAGAACGTTTCTATTATCATAAGAAGATTTTCTGATATGGTATTATTTCATAGAATTGACGAAACTTGCTGTACCACTGCTATTAGCATTTTTGTTATCTTATTTGTTACCGTGTTCGATAATGTTAACATCAACAGCGCGTCTGATACTAGCTGGTATTATCGTTTGTACCGAAACTGACTCTCTTTTTTTCATCTATCTTCTTATAAGATTTAAACGTGTGTAATGCAACCAAGATTAGCTTATTCGGAAGCTATTTATCTAGAAGTAAGATGATAAAAGTTAGTTAACGAACAGTGATATGTTAATAATTATTAATAGGTTTTACGTTTGTCTGGTTGTAAGTTCAGATCAAATGCCAAATCTTTTATCGAGTGAAGCAGGTCAGATTGAGCAGACATCGTCAGGCCTGCTGCAAAAGTTATCTACTTCGTTGCAATTAAGGCAATTTGAACGGAAGGTGAAGTATAGTTTTCTTCTATTCATAGAGAGTACGACCTTTAGTTTATAAAAACATAATTCAGACATTTTAATAATCTCATCAACATTAGGATCTATTTAGTTTATTTTATTAATATAAATCATCTTTTGACTTACAGATACAGTGTGTCGAAAAAATATTGCCCCACTCTCTCTTATGAGCTCGTTTGTGCTACCAAACAAAAACTTATTAATTCATGTTTTTTAGCGTCAGGTAGAGCATGGCGTCGCTCGTCTAAATATGCAACGTTTTAAGTCCAAATTCTTTGTTGCTCTTCATATATTAAAAGACTATTATTATCTGATAATTTTCATTGGTTGTTGTTTATTATTATGCAAAAAATCAGTAAATCTGCTAAACGTCTTTTGTTTAAGATAAGAAGGATTTTTTCTTTCTGAAAGAAGTAAAAGTTTTAATAGTGCAAAGTAACAGAATTGAAAAAAATAATTTTGAAAAAAATAAAATAAATGTTAAATATGTCACAATAACGTAGGATATCTTAGGTCAGCATTCGAATATTTCCTGTATGGATTCGCCCCACAACCGGACCCAACCCCACTCTCCATGGACCCAAGCAGAACTCCAGGAGCTCTACAAACCCAACACCTTGGACTCTAAAATTCGTTACAGCAAACCAATCAAAAAACAAAAATAACCCGAATCCTAACCTACACACCCACTCATTCTCAAAATATTTCGGTATTTCCTATCGCGATTCGCCCCATCCCCGGACCCAACTTTGTTCGTCATGGACCCAAGTAGAACTCATCAAGCTCTACAAAATTCACATTGCACTTTTTATCATTTCAACGAACAGTTAATGAGAAAATCGCTAATTACTTTTCACGCTATACTGGCAATATATATACAAGTGAGAAAAATTATATAATTTGTGCTACGATTCGCTATGTCACTGGACCCAACTTTCTTCGTCATGGACCCAAGTAGAACTCATCAACCTCTACAAAATTCACATTGCACTTTTATCATTTCAACGAACAGTTAATAAGAAAATCGCTAATTACTTTTCACGCTATACTGGCAATATATATACAAGTG